CTCTTCTCACGGGCCATGTTGTCGTTGCAGCTGGAGATGCTGGCCAGGACCTGGGCCGCGCCGAGCTCCGCTGGGGTCGATACCTGCATCGCGCTGCCGCCCGCCAGCCTGCCGAGGGGGCACTTGCCTGCACCCGGCCTCCCGCCAGCCCCCCGCCTCAGCTCTCACCCCGTAAGTTCCCGCCCGAGCGGGTGGTCACAAATGCAGTGTCTGCCTGGCTTTCTGTTCGTTCGGTTTTCTCCACCAGTAGTTCTTTTTCCAACAGCATTTTCTGCCGTCTGGGTCACCTCCTGGCTGACATAGCTCTGTAGTCTTTTCTTAGCTCATCTAAGGGCAAGTGTCGCATTTATATCGCTCCTACTATTTTTTATACCCGTGAAGACCGATATTTTGTAAAAGAAGGTTGGTTTTGTTGCAGTCTGTTCCTGAACAACCCACCTTAGCTGTTTCTTATCATCTGCTTCCCATCTAACTATTTACAAATTGATTGCTCAATAACTTGATGTAAAATCTGTCCAGAGGCTGAAGCCAGGCTAATGAGTCTTTGCCTTCCTCAGTCCTCCTCCTCTCTTTTAGATGTATGTGCTAGTCTGCCTCTCGTATGCTCTCTGACTTCTCAAGATGTCACTTCAGTCAGCATTTTAAGTATCAAGGGTGGATTTCATAAGTGTCTGCTGACTTGAAAATCTTTATCTTATATTAAACTTTATCCTTTACTCTTAACTTACCTTTTTCCACTTTGACCTCACCTTCTGTCTCCCTGTAAAAAGAATTTCATTAAGTATCTATGCACAATTAACCTTTCTGCTTAACCAAAGACATTTAACACTTTGTCCTATTTTGTGTCACCTATAATTTGTTCCTTTTTTGCTAAAGTTATAAACCTTGCTTTCTTTTTTTTATTGAATTTATGGAACCTTTACTTGTTATCCTTTATGTCCTTCACTAGTTGTAAATCAACTCGGTACCGTTGCTCTTCTGATTTTATCCCTACATGATAGCACTGTCTCCCTTAGCCATGCACACACACGCCCTTTTTGGTTTTACTTTTTGTGTGATTTTTCAGGTTATTAAAGCTTTCCTGATGGAGTTAAAGCAGTCTTATACACTCTCTTTCCTCTGAATTGCTGTTGTGCACTTAATATAGTCCCTTTCAGTAACTGCCAGCTCTCTGATCTCTTCTACCTCTTAGATTATTTACCCAAGAGTCATGTCAGCCTATTCCCCGATGTTTTTTTCTGAAGCCTGTTACCTGTCACACTCTATGTACCTTAGGACACTCTATTTTACCTAAGCAGTAAGAAACTTTGGCCAATGAGCCAAAGTCAGCTCACCAGAGCAATTCATCATGTCCAAATCCTTGATGCCCACTCTCCTAAGGATCCTTTGGACAAAACCTGAAAGTATGCTGCAGTATGGTTAAATGGTACTGATAGCCCATTTCCTCATGGCAGTTCCCTTTCTATTGCAAAGTTTTGCAGCACCGTCACGTCACATGGTGTGAACTTAAATGGGCCTCTGTAATCACATGGTGAATGCAGACGTGTTCTGTCACATCCAGTTGATGTATATCTCTTATCTGAACAAAATACAGCTATTCTCATTATGTTCCTGGATGAGAACCTGTCATGGTACAGGAAATACTGGTATTTTGGACATGTGTTAGATGATACATTTCAGGTCATGTGCTAAGAAAGAAGTCAATGTTTTTTCAGTACATGTATAAAAATCTGCATGGTCTGCCTCTGCCAGAAAGATTTACTGTTAGAATCTTTTCTTAGAATACTGATTTTGTGGTCACTTTCACATACTGCTTTCCATCTCTAGAGTCTCAGTCCAGTTTCAGTGAGTTCCTCCCTTCTTAGTCAAAGATGAAATGAAAAGTGCCCATTCTTCTAGTAGATTCCTGCAGTTTCTGAAACACAAAGCTACTTTTAATTGTGGGAGGTTGTTCACCACACATACTGTATTCCTAGCCAACGGCTGGGTAAAGTGCCCAACTGGTCATTAGTTACCATCCTATCAGCTCTTGGATGGTGGCTCAGGAAGAGGTTCATTCAGCTCTTCCTTTCTGTGCGGTCAGTTGTTGGTTGCTCCCAAGGACAGCAACCTTATGGTTTCTCTTTGCTTCTTCTTAGCCTGCCTTTCCTCATTGCTTCCTTCATTTTCAGAACTCATTCCTGTTCTACAGTGCAGAACCACTTATGTCATAACTGTGGTTTCATGTGAAGACTTCCTTTCTGGGGGTTGTTTTGTTCCTTTTTTATGTCTTTTTGTCTGTCTTACAGCTTTAATGCAGTTCTGTGACCTCATCTCTCCAAAGCAACAGCAGTATTTCTTTTAATTTTCTGTGAGCCTTAGCCTCTGTTCGTCTTCAAAGCTTCCCTTACGGCACTGAATTTGAGTCCTAAAACTTTCTTCCCTTTTATTATTGCATGAAATCTATCTCTTCCTGCTATTAACTTTTCTTGGAATGCTGTCCCATGTGTGTGTCTCCAGGATTTATCTTCTCTGCCTGGTGAGAAAAATTCTGTTAGGCATATTTGTGACCCATGGCCTTGAATCCTTTACCCTTGCACTCACAGTTAATCCTTACACATCCATGACTAGACTTAGCAGTCTGACCTAGCAGTGTCATTAGTGATCTCGTGAATAGGCCTTGACAAATTTTCCTTGTTGTCTTTGCCATTGGATCCATATGTGCCGCTCGTTTTCCGGGCTGGCAGGTGAGTTTGTCAGATGGATGTCTGTGTCATGGTGGTAGCCATGACATTTGCAGCTTTGAGACTTTTGCATCCCTTTCTTCCTGGCCAATATAGGATACCATGATAATAACCTGCATAAGCTTTTAATGGAATTCAGTTTCCATGAACTTACTGTCCTTATGCCAGCCACAGGCCAGCTATCTCTGCTGCTTATGTTTTCCATAATTACCCAGTTTTCCTTACATGTTTCTTCTCACTATTCCGTTGACCATTAGTTTCAGGAGCACAAGGTTATCTTGTGGTCCAGTATTCCAGGGCAGTGGAAGATAGGGAACAGGAGAAGATGGAAAAAAATATAATTTACTTCTGTAACCGTATTATTGAAGTACTTCAAGTGTTTTATGTTTCTCCTTAGCAACATATTGCAAAACAAAATTGATTCGCACATACTTTATTAAGGAGGAAATATAACATGAAACTTAGAACCACATATTTTGCTCCAAGAGATGTTTATGGATTCTAATGTCTTGTAAAATTGTATGATGCTGCATTTTCCCTTCTGTTGCTTTCTCCTTTTTTTATTTTTTTCCAAAGAAATCATTATAGGTTTGGTGTCCTGGAACTATGGAATCAATCTCTATGATGGGAAGTCCTAAGAATCTCAATGAAACTTTTCTACCAAATGTTGCCAATGGCATCAAGGATGCCAGTAAGGTCACAATAGGTATCATTGGAAGTGGAGACTTTGCCAAGTCATTGACAATTAGGCTTATCAGATGCGGGTACCACGTGGTCGTAGGAAGCAGAAACCCCAAACTTGCTGCCGAGTTCTTTCCCCACGTGGTTGATGTCACTCACCATGAAGATGCAGTAGCAAAAACAAACATCATTTTTGTAGCCATACACAGAGAACATTATGCCTCCTTGTGGGACCTCAAGCATTTACTCGCTGGTAAAATTCTGATTGACGTCAGCAATAATACAAGAGTAGACCAATATCCGGACTCCAATGCAGAGTACTTGGCATCACTTTTTCCAGATTGCCTGATTGTCAAAGGATTCAATGTTGTTTCAGCTTGGTCACTGCAGTTAGGACCAAAGGATGCCAGCAGACAGGTAATTGTTATATTTGTATTAATTTAACTTGTTTGTAAGACGAAAATGACAGGAACTGAATGTAAGCAGCCAGAACTCATGGCATTCATCCTGCCTGACTTAAGGTACCTAAAATATTGGGCCTTTAGTTGTAAGTTTTAGTAGCCAACAGAACATTCAGAGTATAGTTCATCCACTGGAAGACGTATAGAGTAAGTGGTCCAAATTGTCACCTGGGATGCCTGCTTATCTTTAAACATTGCAGAGGAAATGTGGATACTAGCTTAGACTAGACAGCTGACCTTTAGTTGACTACAGACAGAGGACAGGAGTCGGGTCTTAATGTCTTCTGTAGGAAATATGTTAATTTTTACCCTTATGCTCTGTACAAGGATAGAGGCAGTCTTCTCCAGTCTATTTTAGTTTCAGTATTAGTTTACATGGGGCAAACTAATGAAAGAGATGCACAGAAATCTGAGGTCCTGATTCCAGGGCTCAGGAGTCAGCTGTTCTAAAAATGCTTGCATTCCGTGTAACAGCAAAGTGAATGAAAGAAATTACCTAGCTTTAGAATGCCCCAAGATCATAAATATGAGGAAACAGGAGGAGGCACATATGTTTATAAGTGATCATTCATTTGATCCAGGACTGCTTGGGAACATCATGTTCAAATTCCTTCCCAGTATGTTCCCCAAATCCATCCTGCAGATAGAAAAGGCAGCTTTATGTTTTTCATGCTTTGCTGAAGTGGTAGAAAGGGTTTAAGGTGATGCAAGAAGCCAGTCCTTCATGGCTTTATGGGCTCTGAGAAATGCATGAGAAATGACTGGTGTAACATGACTATTGGAGACTAAATTGAGTTTTCTGGCACTTCAGGTAGATTTTAAATGGGATGCAATTAATATAAAATTAGCATAATTTAAAAAATAACCTCACTGTACTATTTTTATCCTTTTCCAGAGTAGTACCACACTGTAAGTGATTAACTTCTGTCAAAACTGATCATGTTTGCTGTAATGCATATGATCAGGAGTGTTGGGCAAATTGTAGCCCACTGTAAATTTTAAAGGAACTTTAAAGTACTTTGTAGCAGTGCATTCCTTTCACTATGTAATAAACTGGTCTTTAGAAGGAGTTCTGATTTGGCTTCTTTTTTTTGTCTTTTATGTTAAACATTTAATTTTCGTGGAAATCTGGATTGTGAATTTAAGCTAAAATTGTTATACATGGAGAGATTACACAGTCTCTGCTTTGCATTCTGTTTATGCTACAGCTGTTTCAGGGTCATCATTCAAGATTCATGTATTTCTCAGAGTCTCATGATTTTCTGAAATGCTTTTAGCCATTGTTTCAAGTTCAATCCAGTCCCGTAGACATTTCAGTGTGGGGGGTTTCAGTGTGCAGATTACCAGGGCATCCTATGATCAGCTCATTATCTACTCCAAGAAAAAAACAATTTTGTTTTGGTTACTCTGTTGTTAAATCAGTCTGCATATTTTCACTTCACCTGAATTTGTATATGGTTTCATTCTTATATTTTGGTGGTATAAGCTGGGATAACAGTGTGCAGTTTGGGCAGTAGTGCTGTGGTTTTGTCCTGGAGGCTCTTAAGGGTTTTTTGTGTTGGGTTTGGTTTTTTTTGTTTTTACCTTTGAGTCTCTTTCTCTGACTACAGACAATTCACTTGGCTTTCCCAACAGGTCTATATATGCGGTAACAATGTTCAGGCTCGCCATCAAGTAATTGAGCTTGCCCGACAGCTCAGTTTTATTCCTATTGATTTGGGGGCATTGTCATCTTCAAGGGAGATTGAAAACTTACCTCTGCGACTGTTCACACTGTGGAAGGGGCCTGTAGTGATTGCCATTAGCCTGGCAACATTTTTCTTCATCTATTCCTTCGTCAGAGATGTAATCCATCCATATGTGAGAAATCAGCAGAGTGACTTTTACAAGATCCCCATTGAGATCGTCAACAAGACTCTACCAATTGTTGCTATCACTTTACTTTCTCTAGTGTATTTATCAGGACTTATTGCAGCTGCCTACCAGCTTTACTATGGTACTAAGTATAGGCGATTTCCACCTTGGCTGGACAACTGGCTCCAGTGTCGAAAGCAGCTTGGACTGCTCAGTTTTTTCTTTGCAACAGTGCACGTGGCATACAGCCTCTGCTTACCTATGAGGAGATCGGAGCGATACTTGTTCCTCAATATGGCATATCAACAGGTAAGCCAATCTTTAGTTCAGTTAAGCCAAAAATGCCTTAGCTGTATGCATATGGCTCATGAATACAGTATCTATGTTTTCTTGATCTGTTCCACTGTTTTCAGCAAAGAATGTTATGGGTTATCTTATGGTTAATTTGGCTAATGCCAAATAGGAAGGAAGACTAAAAGAAATATCTGTCCATTGTGCTCACCTCCATGGGTCAAGCTGCAGTCAAGTTTGTGTGATAGGGGGAATCAAGGATGTGTCCTACTTAAATCCCTGGTAGGAATATACACAAGGAGAATGTAGAATAGACAGGAGAAGAGCAACAGCAGGAAACTTCTGAGTTTCTGAGGTATGTGCCTCTCTATGGATACTGAACATATGGGGAAAGTATGTATATCGTTAAGTGCATTTACAAGTGTGAGAAATACAAGAGTGGATACTGTAGTAATGCTTACAGATACATATATGTTTACAAAATGAAAATGCTGTTACTTTGTAACATTTTGGACCAGTGGTAAAAATATTTTTTTCATTAAAAATTCTGTGAATATCATCTATTACAGGCAATAGAGATTGACTCACAGTTCCCAGGAGCAATTGGTCTTGCATAATCCTGAAACAAACTCCAACAAATCTGTCATCCTTTAGGAGAGGGTCTGATGCTCCTGTCTGTCAGCGAGGTAGCTTATTGTCATGTTTAAAGTGGCAGAAAAGCAGCATTGCCAAAAAACAGCATTGCCATTCAGCACATAAAATCTGCAGCAAAGCGAAATGTGATGGAGCAGAAAGAAAAGCAAACCAAGGAAATCAGATCAAATGGAACAAATTAACGGGGATTGCGTCCACAAATTCAAAAAGGGCTGGCATGAAAAATTGAACTTGAGAGAAAGGCAGGAAGAGCAAAACTATAGAAGGCAGCAAGAAACTGTAGTTGTTCACACTTAGTATTAGCAAAGGACCCACTGATACTTTTACTAAGATATTATCTTGGGTTTAATAATATTGTAAAACTCTCACTTGCTAATACTCCTAGTGAACCTCTTCCAAGAAATGCCATATCACAATAGTTCATCTGAAAGTGGAAAAATAATTAAATATCCAAGCCTCTTAATTGTAAAGGACCCGAGCTGTTTCTTTTTTCTGGTAAAGCTCTCCAACGAGAACAATCTTGGATGTATCTGATGTCCCCAGTGAAAGAGGCAAAATAACTTTGAGTCAGCACAGGGAGCTGAAGCAAAAACAGGAAATGATGCTAAACTACTTCTAAATCTAACAAACTAAAAATGAAGTGCAGGTTTACCCAATTTATGTTATAGAATTTAAGTTCCCAGGGTCTGAAGAACACAGCTATTTTTCTGTAGTATATAGGAATGCCCAGATTTATCTGTTTTTATAACATAATTGATATATATAGTTATAAATTGTTATAAATAGTATATAATGTTACATTTTCTTTTAACAACTGATCTGTTTCCATGTTTAACATATTTTTAATCTAACCAGAGCTAATACCAGCAGTAAGGAAATAGCTGGATTTCTCCAGGATATGAGGAAACCTCTGAAATATTTGACCCCATATTATAGTTGTCCTGTGACTGTAGACTTTTACTCAGCAAAATAATTTCTGTTGATATTTTTAATATTCTGTAGAATAAAGTGCTTGCTTTCTGCTCTTTCATCAGGTTCATGCAAATGTTGAAAATTCTTGGAATGAGGAAGAAGTGTGGCGAATTGAAATGTATATCTCCTTTGGAATAATGAGTCTTGGATTGCTTTCTTTGCTGGCAGTAACTTCCATCCCTTCAGTAAACAGTGCCTTAAACTGGAGGGAGTTCAGTTTTATTCAGGTGTGTTACTTTTTAAATAAGGGGATTTTGTTGTTACTAGGAATTCCTTGATGATGATCACGATCATGAACAAAAGCACTTTGCAACATTAGCTTTTTTTTTTCCTCTCTCTGCTAAGTTAATAAAAACCTTACTCAGCAAATATATTACCGTGAAGGCACATTAAGCATTTTATGAGTATTGGAATAGGAATTTGCATTTTACACTTTTTGGCCTTAAATAGCCAACGTCGCTAAGACCAAATGAACACTAATCTATTCCTTTTCCATTGTTGGAATTTCTTGCTAAATTCAAATTAGATAAATTTGTACAAACGCACTAAAGGCAATGATACTTAGCAGATACTACTATATGTAGGTGCACACAACTTTTAAAATGGAAGACTTAATATGTCCTGTAGGATTTTTATTGCACAGCCCTCTGACAGCCATGGTGTCATTGATTGCTTCCCCTACACTGTGTGGGAATTAATACAGCTCTCAATTGCATTATTCCCATTTGCTGAAAATACCCAATAGTAAAATATGAAGCTTCTAAGTGAAGAGGCTGAGCAGAGGCTTTTCCAGGTCCTGGCATGCTTTCTGCTGCCCTCCTTCCTCAGATACATATCTACAACAGGCAGACCTAACCAGCATAAAATACTGAGAAACATAGGCTTTAATAAACAGCTTAATATTTGCTTCCAAACAAAATTGTTATTAGTTTTAGGCAGCAGTCAGTTGTAAGAAATTTTATAAGGGTTCAGCCTTGTGATAAATTTCCTAAGTGTGTACACACAATTTTGAGTTTGTTATGTTTTGTTTTGTTCTCTGACTTTGGATTCAGTATTCTAGTCTTAACTCAGTCTTTTCTGATTAACATTTTTTTCAACATAGCCACTGTAATAATATGGCCTAAGTCTTAGTCCTGTCACTGTTTACAAAATCCTACCTTCAGAACACAGGCACTGACTTTACTGCTCAGGGCTTGAGCTGCACTTCATAATTTACAAACATTTTAAAGGGAGTGATGGGCAACACTTCTTTGGCTGTAGTTGCCAGAGGTCTTCTGTCTGTAAAGTAATGTCTTCCTTTCCTCTAGGTTTTCCATTGGTGGAACGCTCCCCAAGTACTCCTACAAAAAGTTTGCTGAAAAATTTTTCAAATTAGAGTTCCGCTGACAGAACTGTTTATTCTCACTCATGGTTTTGAGCCTTCAGAGGGAGTAAATAATACCCATTTCGTGTTGTTACAACATCCTGCCATCCAGAGTTCTCTCTGTGGGGACAATAGTGCTGCTTTTGGGTGATGGAAAACATTAGTGCAAGGGAAAAATATGTATTCACTCGTGAGTGAGGTGATGCCTTTATCCAGTAATGACTTCCAGCCACAAACCCAACATTTGTGTTTTGTTTTTCCTTACTCAGATTTAAAAATTTCAGGCTTTTGTGACTGAGTCAAAACCCACACAATAATCACATAGTTATGTGTCTACAAGGGCATTTTTTATTATGTCATATTTACTTCAGTTATTTGCACTGTAAATAAAATCAAAATAGTTCCAAATTTAAACAATTATGAACTTTAATGAATTATCTGTCAGTATTTTGAGGAATTTGATTGGGAACAAGTTGTTTGCGCTGGAGGTATGTTATGGTTGATACTACATTACATGCTGAACAGAACTGATATTGGTAATTAATTATGATGATTTGCAATTTTTAATCACAAAAAATACTGAACTACTTACTAAAAATTTCCTTAAAGTTAATGATCATTAAAGGTACTTTACTTTGTCATTAATTACTTCTCAGGATGTAAGTTACTCCTTTAGTTACTTGTCCTTCAAAAAAGTCCTCTTGCTTTATTCAGTCAGAAAACAGATTTTCAGTAACCTCTACTCACTAAAGTAAAAGGAGTCTGCATTTCTGCACAAACTTCACTGTATGCAACTAGAACAGATAAAACATCATAATACTTACTGTCTTTTATATTTTTCTTCAACTGAAGTGCAATATGATGAAGTAAATTTGAACTAAATTTTCTGAATCTTCTGTAAGCCAAGGGGACAAACAGTAGCACTGTTAGCCCATTATCTCAGTGCTGCTTTTTTTTAGGTGGGAAAAGCAGTATGTCTCTAGCTTTGGTCCTGTATCTCAGATGATTTGCCACAGTAATTGCTGAACTCGTTTTGCATCTGATTGATGAGGAATCAGTCAGTCAACACACTCACTTTCTTACCTCAGCACTTCCCACTGAGAACAACATACTATTACTTGCTCATCTTAGTAAATACAGTTTCATCAAAATAAGGGTCTGGCCTCTTCTAAAGAGTTTTACTGCTAAAACATATTCAGTCTTCAGTGTTACTAGGAAAATCTGAGGTTAGGATGAACAAATTATTAACATACACAGTATAGACTATTTTCTAGCCTTGTTCCAGTGATACAAGCCCTGAGCAGCATCTCCCTTACGTACAGTGGTTCAAACAGACGTCTACCACAGTCTTCCTAATACTGTAAAGAAACTCCAGTTGTGAATGTTTTTGCCCAGAAATCATTGCTGTCTTTGATATCCCCAATTATTTTGGAGATGCCTCTATCTTACCTAGCCTGGTTTCACAACACAGGTGTCAGCAGCCCCAAAAATTCCAGCCTGCTTGATGAGGGAAAAGGATTTTGATAGGAGAAGCAGTGCATGCTCCACTCATTCCCTCAGGGTATGAACAGGAACAAAGTGAGATATGAGAAGGTTGAATAGAGGTGCAAAAGGAACTTACTGTGTCAGCCCTACCAGGAGCTGAGAGACCTGCAGAAAACTTGGAGTTGCTGCGGTACAGAGCTGACCACTGTACAAAACAAATATCTGATTACTTCATCATGATTCAGAGAGAAACACTCATAACATCCAGATGGAGGAGCCACAGAACAAGATAGTGATGAAGAGTTTGCTCAGTAGGAGATCCTAGATGATGGGAACAGCATGAAACTTTGCAGGTATCTTAACATGACCCAGAGTTGGAGCTTACTGAGGAAAGAAGCAGGGAAGAAGCTGGGGCTGATAAACTAATGCATCAGTTTTCTTAAATCCAACTTCAGTACTCTTTTTTTTCTTTTTTAAACATATTTGGATAAGGAACAAAGGTAGACATGGGCAAGAAAAAAGAATTAATATTTTGTCAGAGCAGGCAGAATAACTAGCCTAAACCAACACTCTGCAAACAGAAAAAGACATTTATTGAAACCAGTCCTTGAGTGTTCACAAAAAATACATGGAAATGAAGAATGTTGTCTGCAAGCGCTGCTGCACCAGGTCGTTCAGTCATCTGAAAGAAGTTAAACTATAAATATATAATGTAAACATAAATGACCACTGCTTTTGTTTTTCCAGTCTAAGAGTTCAAGTCCAAAGCACATCACTCAAAGTGACAATGGACAGAGTAGACTGGCTTTGAAAGCTGAGCTTTATGTTACTTAGCAAAAATCAGCACAAATCTGTCATTTGCATAGTAGGAAGCCAGTCTCTTTGTAGACATTTCTTTTGTCTGCAAGCACAATCGTGCAAGTTTTTTTGGAGACAGTATGACTAAAGCTGTTCTTGCGCATGGTCTTTGAGGACGGGCTGCCCTGTCTTGGTTCTCCCACAAGAATAGGATACTTTCCCCCAGAGTAAAGAAGGAGGCCTGAATATTTAGAAAGTTTATGGGTAAGACTCCAGTCAGAATTGCTACAGCCTATTTATAAGTTTAGCAATATCCTGTGACTGGGAGAATCTGAAGTATACCTTGCATAAATGTAGGTTTTGGAAAATACCTTTTGTATATATAAATTGCTTGGAAATACTCGACCATTGTGAAGGTAGAAATTCCTGAAGCAGATTCATCCCACAGCAGATTTATGTCTCTATATATGTATGTGTTCCTGGTAAGATTTTAGAGATTTTTCTCCTGCATCTTTTCCACTGCTCTAACACTTTTTTTTTTCGCCCCAGACAACACCAGTTTGTCCACTCTATTGGTGGCCTTGGCTGGGAATCTTCCACATTGGATAAAAAAACTGACTTTGATCAGGAAAGAAAAGAGACAAAACAGGGAAGACTTAGAGAAAAGCTAAAAGACTGGGGACTCCATAACAAATGTGGTAATCTATTAGCTTCCAGAAAACATAGTATTAGAAGATAAGGAAGCAAAGCTACCAAAGATGTTATTCCCTTTTCCCAACAGCCATCCTAGAGCCTAGACAGAGAGTTCCCAAGACTCACTTACACTTAGCTGCTACTCACTCACCAACGTGAATTTACCAGTAAAGGAAAGTATCCCTTCTTGCTGCTTTCAGAAGTCCTCTGCTCTTAAAGAAGTTGGCATCCTGTGCCACTCCCGGCCTCCCTGTGGTAACATCAGTGTAAGTGATCTTCCAGCTCTTGTAGGCATATTCATCCCATTCTTTTCATGTCTTAAGAAGACAGGAGAGAATGACAGAAATGCAATATGTATATTCCATCGGAAGCGCAAGTACATTTTAGGACATCCATTGTCTTTAATACCTGTATTCCCACCTCCACATTGTAGAGTGATAAACTTGTGCAGAAGAAAATAACCTTGCATACCTGAATGATAGCAGCTCTTTCACCTTTCCAGTATTAAACAGATTGCTTTCTAGCAATTAATAACTCCCACAGCACTATCTTCATTTATTTCTCAATAATTGAAACATCTTTAAAGTTAGCATTCATAGGGGTGGTCAACTTTGGAATATGGCTTTCTGACACTGCCACTGGCCAAGATTTGTGGTATGATGCAGTGCTACCAACTGATTTTATTTTTACTGTTCAGCTGCCCAGCAGTGCCTTTTCCTGCACTAGCTGATGTCTTTTTGTCCAAGCCTGCTTGAGGCAGTTCTGAGTTTCCTCATTTTATCACTCTACAGCTATTGCTGTAGTCCTTAAACATTTGCAGATACAGAAAAATCAAGTCTTTATAACAAACACAGAAGTTTTGTACTGACACAGCCTCCTGCAGTGGGGTAGCAAAGGCAGCCAGCCTTGCTTGTACTTCTGGAAAAGTCATTGTCAGTAGCTGCAAGCTAGGATAAATGCTCTTAATGGAACTTTCTAGTGCAGATCTGGCCTGACTAAACAAACCAAAGACTACAGAATGCTAAGTGGTGTGGAGGACATCCTTTTTCTAGCTAACTGGTATTACTACTGTCAAAAGTACAGCACAGAAATACAGCAACTAAGGGCCTGGTAGAAGAAAATACCATGAGTAGCTGACAGAAGCTCCTATAGGAGTGTCTTTGTTGTCAGATTTTTAGATGAGTGGTTGAAATGGTCCAGTACATACTAGCACATGCCCTACCAACACTTTAAAGAAGCATATGGCAACTTTCCACAGGGGTAAAAAAAGAACTTAATAGAGATGCATCATATGTTTTTCTTGTCCTTGTGCTGTTAGTTCTAAAGGTACTGATAAATATACTGATGTACTTCTTAGCTTCCATTTTGACCATGAGATAGAAAGACATACAGTTATCTCAAAACTGTAGTTTTCAGATGGACTTTAAATAAGCATTAAAAATATTTTTTTTTTAAATCTGGGAAGACTGTATAACATTTCCTTCTTGTTTCTTTTTCAAGAATTGTTATAGTTCTCATCAGTAAGCCTGATGAAGAAATGAGGGATATGATTCACTTGTGCCCTTTTCCCTGCTGGCAGTGATATAACAGGACAGTCATACAGGCAAAAATCTGCAATAACACATTCAAACATCAGATTTGATAGTATTGTTTGCTGCCCAAATTTCTTACTAGAACTTCCGTTCAGATACTGCATATGCCATTTTCATATCCACAAGTGGTTGTCTGATTGTTCTGTTTCTTATGGACTATTTTGGGAGCAAATTGTCCTTTTTAAAAAAACAGTGCAGCATATCTAAAATGTATCAATGTGACTCTGAAACCGTTGGCAAAAAAATGCAGAAATATTGGCATGTTAAAAAACATGGTACCAATCTCTAGTAATTAACAAAATTATTTTCCTTTTTATACCACTATATCTGTGAATCCTTGAAATGGTATTATCTCAGACATTCTTCTTTCCCTAGAAATTGGTTAATCTTGAGGTGGAAAGAATAAATTCTTTCACTAACTATTATAGACCCTTAGGCTACATTTTTCTTTGCCTATTTGTTTGCTGGTATTAACCCCAAACTTGGTAGGCGGTTACCTTTCTTAATATTCATTCTCTGTTTCAATGATTTTCTACAAATGTTTCCCAACCAAGCTAGTCATTACATCAGTTTTGGCCAAAAAGAGTTTTTCTTCCTTTGTTCACCACCAGAATTCAAAGCATAGCCATCTTTTTTTACCGTGGTTTGGGAAAGTCAAGGTTAGTACATTTAACTCGAGCCTGCAGAGCAATACAGCCACAGGGTGCTTAAAAGGGCAGATTCACAGAAACGGTGAATGACCCCTGTTAGCACTACCTTCTGTGGCATGGTCTAGATTACGGGATAAGAGCTCCTCTGCAGGGTGCTGTGGGTACCTTCTATATCATGTTTCATCCAGCACTACTTGTTTATGATAAACTGCATTGTTGCCTTGTGCCATTACACCCGAGTCCTGCAGTCCAGATATTCCCATTAACCAGTAGGCAACAGCTCTTGGAGGAAGGTAAGGGATGGTTTATGCTAACTTCAGATAAGTGGATGTAGGCCATTGTGAGGAAGAAGCAAACTGCACCTCTCAGAGTGATAAAAGTCTGCAGTGTTAGGCACAGATCTCTTCCAGCAGAATTGCATTGTTCCATAATCATTAATCTTGGAAGTGATCTACCCCTCACAGTTAAATAACAGGGAACTTAATTTTCAGCCACAACTGATGTTGTTCCACTAACTTCACTGGGATTGTTCCTTATTCACATAGTTGACTTCCATTACTTAGAATTTGGGCAAACATTATTTCATTTCAGCTTTGACTAAGGCTGATAGATGCTAGCAGAGAGATGTTGTAAATCAGTGTCCAGTTCAGTCCATAGGTTTCAGAACATGTGAACTTAAAACCACATGTTGCTAATTTAAAATAGAGTATAGGTAACAGATTTTAACATAATGTCTAACAACAATGTTAAAATAATGGGTTAGAGCTGTCAGATGAAGGACCGAGTACTATTATCTTTTCTTTTTCCCGTTTTCTCTTTTTTCAAAGTCTACACTTGGATTCATTGCTCTGCTCATAAGTACTTTCCATGTACTGATTTATGGATGGAAAAGAGCTTTTGAAGAAGAGTATTACAGATTTTATACACCACCAAATTTTGTTCTTGCCCTTGTTCTGCCTTCCATTGTAATTCTAGGTAAGATCATTTTACTTTTGCCATGTGTAAGTAGGAAACTGAGGAGAATTCGAAGAGGATGGGAGAAAAGCCGTGTTATAGAAGAAGCAAGTGGGTCTGTTCCACATCTCTCCCCAGAAAGGATAACTGTGATGTGATGATAGACTAATATTTGTTAACACTGTTGTAGATGTTTGGGGTGGTTTTGTCATAAACTTGTATTTTTAGGAGTTTAGTTAAAGTATAAGGAAAGTCACTGTGGACATGTTTGGCACATAGTACAAGCTCTCAACCAAACTATGAGAAATTTATAACTAAAAGACTACTACTTCAGATAACTACAATTTTTTTTTTTTGAGGGCAGATGATTATGAAATCAGAATTTTTTAATGCTCCTTTGCACAGTTATATCACAACAGTATTTTATTATAACCATGCTTTCCAGATGTTTCTTTGACTTCGAGCATATGTGTCAGAGTGCTATTTATTAACATCACATTTTCTGGGCAGTGTTTCTTTTACTAAAACCACACTTCGGGGCTAATGAGTTCAGAATATAGACTAATAGCGTTAATAATTTACAAAATAATCAGGTTTTAAAACAACTTAAATTGTAATGATGTATTGCACATGTACAGTATATTTATTTGTGTGTGGTTTTATACCATTCCATGATTTGAATATGCAAAACCAGTTTCAATTATGGTGTTATTGTACATCTTGTAAGCAAATGGTATTGTACTAAGAGTCATTTTTTTCAACTTATCACATAGGATTTTAGACCTTTGGCATCTCTTTATCTCCATACATCATATAATGAAAATTCAAAACAGTGTTATACATGTGTATAAAGACTTGCAGATAAGTGTGCAAGCAACTATTTTTTCATTTTAGAATGGTTTTGAAATATCAGGAAATATTTAGAAAAAAAAGCTGAGAAAACTGCAGCACTAAAAATGCATTTTCACTGTGAAACTTCCAATATGTTGGTACAACGGGGAAGCATCACAATACTCATGTTCTATGTGTTTCTACACTGGAGTTTCAGTTATTATATATGAATTTCCCAGAGTCTGTCTTACATTCTTAGTATCTTTTTGTGCAAATCCAATCTTCTATTTTTATATAAAAGTCTTACTTTTCTGACAAGTCTCTGGGCTATGCCTGACTTTTTGAGAAACGAAATTATTATTCTTATACTTAAAAATGAATTTATCTCTAAAGCTTGACATTTGCATTTCCTGTGGGACTCAAAACTATATTTCACATGTGTCAACAGAAATTTGAGAAGTTCTTTGCGGTTCACAAATTTATTTCAAATACTTGGAAAAGTCAATTTTATCCTTTTTAAGCTACAACAGGGGGGAAGCAATTGGAAGGAAAAAATTAATTTTATTTCACCATTTTTTGAAAAGTAAATTATAATAACAGCTATAATTGGTCAGACTAAGGTCTTTGAGACTTGTCTCCAATTGCTGACAAGTGGCAGATGCTTCCAAAAAGAGAGCATATGTCCAGTGATTCTTGACATAACCTCTCAGCCTCTTGGAAATCATAGAAACACAGAATGATAGAATACTTTGGGTTGGAAGGGACCTTTAAGGGTCATCTAGTCAAACCCCCCTGCCATGAGCAGGAACATCTTCAACTAGATCAGGTGGCTCAGAGCCCCATCCAACCTGAGCTGGAATATTTCCAGGGATGGGGCATCTACCACCTCTCTGAGCAACCTGTCCCACTGCTTCACCACCCTCATTGTGAAAAATGTCTTCCTTAGATCTAGTCTAAATCTACCCTCTCTTGGTTTAAAACCATTACCCTTTGCCCTGTTGCAACAGGCCCTGCTAAAAAGTCTGTCCCCATCTTTCTTATAAGCCCCCTTGAAGTACTGGAAGGCTGCAATAAGGTCTCCTCAGACCCTTCTCTTCTCCAGGCTGAACAACCCCAACTCTCTCAGCCTGTCCTCACAGGAGAGGTGTTCCGTCCCTCTGATCATTTTTGTGTCCCTCCTCTGGACCCGCCCCAACAGGTCCATGTCTTTCCTGTCCTGAGGGCTACGGAGCTGGATGCAGGACTCCAGGTGGGGTCTCCCCAGAGCAGAGCAGAGAGGCAGAATCACCTCCCTCGACCTGCTGGCCATGCTGCTTTGGATGCAGCCCAGGATATGGTTAAGTCTTCTGGGCTGTGAGCGCACATTGCTGGCTCATGTTGAGCTTTTCACCCACCAGTACCCCCAAGCCCTTCTCGGCAGGGCTGCTCTCAGTCCCTTCATCCCCCAGCCTGTACTGATACTGGGGGTTTCCCTGACCCAGGTGCAGGACCCTGCACTTGGCCTTGTTGAACTTAATGATTTTAGGACTTGTTTGAGACGTGCTGCCTCTGCGCTATTGTATTTAATAGCTACTTCCTCAAAAAATGATTAATTTTCTTAGAAATTTGAAACTTTTCCAGTTTTTTACAGGAAAAGAAAGGAAAATACGGAAGAAGGGGGGGAAAAAGTTTAATAAGTCTATCAAATTAATTTAAAAAGTCAGTATTCTTTCTTTTTTCCAAAACCAAATCAGTTAGTTTCAAGGCACTAATTTTATTGTCCCTCCTCCAATATGCATCTATTTCAGTGATACTTGTGGTGATACAATACTATTTTATCAAACATTCTCAACATTAAATGAAAAACTTGTCATTGTTGGAGATAGATAGACAGGAGCCTAAACTAGTACAAATGAGATTTTCACATAAAAATGAAGAGCAAATGACAATTACAATTTCTAATTTACTTTGCCTGTCTGTAAATACATTCCAATACAGAAAGCTGTATATTTATTGAAAGGCTTGCAGAATTATATGTAATTTCCTAGCCTGTTTCCTATTCCATTATTGCAGAGGGAAACCACAAAAAGCTTAGGCATTTGCCCTTCAATCCTTTAAATAAAATTAATCTTAAAAATCTGTATAATACACAAAGTCTTGGAGAATTTTAATGGGATAAATACCATGCTACATTCTACCCCAGTCCTGTGCACAAAACCCGATTAAAATCACTAGAATGGGATGGTATAACTGAGAGCAGAATTTCATACCTCTGAACAAATTTCGGTGAGAAACTATTTCTGTTGACAATCTGATTACACTTCAAAATTAAATATGCTGCTATTATTTTACAGTAATTCTGCACTTCTGTAGAATAGGTGATTAACGTTCATGTTCCCTACAATTATCTAATTCATTTGATGCAATAGTGATAATGTTGCAGAACTAAGATACTGTACTAATTGAAAATTACTGTCAAAGTCCATATATAATGTACGGTAATGCAACCACTGACAGTATACAGAGAAATGTATTGGCCCTCTTTCCTATGCAAAAAAGATTATTGATGATGGTAATTCTAATCATCATTAATTTCTTCAAGAATGTTTAAACTGTTAAATTTTGAACTGCCAAAGGTGTCTGGAGAGAATAATGATGTGTCGTTCCTTTTTTCAAACTGTGTGTGTAGAAAACTAAAAATGTGATTTGATTTTATAAGTTACTTGAATGGTTGAAATACTGAAGTATCAATATATAGATGATATTTTTAGATAAAATAGATGAAGACATTTTGTGAAATATTTGTGCTACAAAATGACAAATTGTTTCCTCTTAGGCCATGTATTTACTTCGAACTGGAATAACAAGTTGACTTGTGATTTAATATTTTGTAGTGTTCTTTAAGGACCAATTCACTCTAACAAGACACTGTTAAGTCTGAAAGTAAAGTGACACTCATGCATTTACTACACATTATGTATCATATCGTGTATATGCTTAGTCACATAAGGAATCTTTGTTCATGTGATCAAACACATTGATTTCTGTAGAACAACTCACATTAGGACTTCTCATTGGAAGAACTGAGGCTAAAAACTTAGTTTCGCTTGCCTAAATATAAACAACGAATTTCATTTAGTCGTCAGTTACTTAGGAGAATAAATACATATTTTGAGGAATAGCCTGCTATAAATTTTTTGTGTAACTTTATATAAATTGCTTACTGCCTAATGAAAAATGAATAATGACATAAACTTCATTTCTTATTATTACTGTTCAGTAAAAAAAAATAGTGCTTAATAGGTGATACAGAACTGTACACATCGTATTAGAAAATGGAGACCTCTATGTATTTAGAAACAGGTTATTTGTTTTCAATGGATATTAAGGTATTCTTTCTTAACATTGTCTAAAATACATTTCTATTACAGGTTCCATATGTGTCTTTAATTTTATCTTACAATTCTATTAACTGTGGCAACTATGTACAAGTTAACTAAGTACTCATGTTCTTGAATTATTTAGAGATTAATTACTTTGTAATTATTTTGCAAGTTCTTTGCATATCTAGCTTGTGGTAACGGTTACTGTGAATTGGTGCCACGTTTAACTTTTTGTTCCAACACTATGCAGTATATGATGTGCCAACATGAGAAAGTACATTTGTATTTTTATTTGGCATTAATTACCTATAAAAAAGTGTGTCTCTGTGTGTGTGTGTCTATATGTTATTACCTATACATGCTGCCCAGCTAGCACTGAGGGAAATTGTTAATTAACATAAGGCAACGAGTTCCCAAGTGGCTATAAATTTCACAAGTATGAATATGGTTAGGGAACAGCTTTCCTCTGAATGTGAAGATTTCCTCTGAAAGATATGTCAGATGCATAAAAATTAGACAGATTGAGTTTTTCAGTATAATATTTCATATATGCAGTCGTAGTAGATGCATATGGATAGTTCCTTTCAGACAGTGCATCTCCTAATACCCAAGCTTTTGATTTCTTGGCTGTACTAGATCCTGCAGTATTTTCTATCAATGTAATGAGTAATGTTGCAGTACTGATACTGTATCATTATATGATACTGCTTGAATTAATTAGATTACAGCCTTTAAAATAAGTGACGCATTGAACTGACTTGAGCAACAGTCTCTGTCATTATATATTTTCTCATGCCTTGCTGGCAGTGTGTTGCAGTGAATATAGTATGTCTCTCATGCAATATTCTCTTTTGTAGCTGTGTTTGTCAATTTGTTTATGCTGTCTCTCTGAACAGGGCTATTATAAATTATTAGTAATGCTTTTATCTATTTTTCCATAGACTGTGTTTTACACAAAAATCAATAAAAAGGCAAGGTATTTGGC